TTAGGGTTTAGGGCTTAGGGCACTTTGCAGGTGCCGCGAACGACACCTCCATTTATTGTGCTGGAGAACCTCGCAGCCGCCTCAAAGACCACCTAGGGATTGTATAGGGGCTGTATGAGCTTCTAGTCTCAACTCCTTAAAGGTGATTATATAGGGGACTACGATAGGGGTTATTAAAGGGGATACCTGGAGTTTAGACCGGAGTTTAGACAACGGCTCATGTAGGGATATAACTCCAGTGATAGAGACACAAACGGACAATGAAATGGACACTGGGATGATGTATGGTTCGGGGATGATGATAAGGCGCCAAAGAGTTGAAGACCTGTACGTGTGTTTCCAGTTGAGCTGGAGACGTATAACTCCTTTTGTAGGATTTTTCTTGGTGGTCCAACTACCTGAGTGATTGGGTTGAAAGTTTCAAATACTACAATCAGAGCGGTTTACACTAAACTCTAAACCCCACTGATCGGGTACTTGGACCCTCGCGGCTTGCTGTCATAGAGACTGACTCAGAGCCTATGGAGGCACCAGGATTTGTTCAAATATAGTTTATACTTTGGGAGAAGGGGTTGAAGGTTTAGGTTGGTTTTAGTGGTTCTGAGTCTAGTAGAAGCCGGAAAATTGGAAAGTTAGTCTTCTCGTAGCCCAAATCTTAGACACTCCCATACCCGAAAGCCATCCAGCCCCTAAGCTCTGCAAGACGAAACCACGGGGTTGGAAAAGGTAAGGATCCTACCACGGGCTAAAATGTTTTTCCCCCATTGGGCGGGTATGGGGTTTTAGCAGTTAGGGATTCAGGGATGAAGGGAGTTTTGAGGGTGTGTAGAAGTGCAGTACAGGTGGCTATTTCAGAGGTGGGACAGTTTTTCAAAGTGCTCCTATGTAAGGACTTCCATGAGACCTGCATGGTAAGTTCTGGCTTCTAAAAGAAATCCTTTGCTAGACTGCTGTACCCACCTGTAACGGGCTTCTTCTAAGACTAAGTACTTCTAACCCCTAGTTAAGCCTTTATACCTACTCCAGATAACTTGCTGGTTAGTAGGGACTGGAGGAATGGATCCGTCGAGTCTAACAGCCTGTATAGCTCTGGACACTACATTTTTTTTTTGTGCGCTTCTTTCCCTAAGAATTCCCTGGGAACAACCAGCAAGCATAGGGCTATTCGGACAGGTCATAGGCAGTTTGCGGATCTTTACATCCGCCCCTTGGTGGAACTTCCTACACCGTCACACCGGTAGCACTTCGAAGCTTTGTTAGTTCCTCTTTCCCACATTCCGGAGGATCAAAGTTGAACTCTCAATCAGGGTCAGGGCTGAAGAGGAATCAAGAATCTGTCCTACTTGTTTGCTGGATCTTCCTGGCACACTAAACCTAGAACGTTGTAAGCCCAAAACTATGAGCCCCAAGCCCTACAAACCCCAAACCCACAAACCCACAACCTTAGGTCTCACATAAACCTTACACCTTCAAACCTTAAACCCCATAAGCCCTAAACCCTCCAAAGCCCGAACCAATCCCCAACCAGGATCCTCCTTGTACCCTCAAATGGGTGTATTTGGTCCTAATAGTGGGTATTCAGGGTAGATCACAGGGTACAAAAAATACCCGAGAACCCAAGCCCCAAACCTTAACACCTAAAACCCCGCACCCCAAACCCTAAACCCCGAAAACACACTTAAAAAATCCGACGTACCAGGTGAGGGACTCGCAGCAGCATGCCACTCGGGGCTTGCACGTCATCTCGCTGGCGGAGAAGGTCGGCTTGGAGGGTTGGGGCTTTGGGTCTTTAGGGTTTAGGGTTAGGGTTCCCTAAAGCCTAAACCGTGCGGTTGAGAGAGGTTCCATAGTCCAAAATATGTAGAGTGATGTCCCTTTTGGGTGGTGTTAAGGATTTTGGGCCATTGCTTTCCCTACTATTGGGCTCCAGGCAAGGGTTTCATTAGGGTTGAGGGGTTCAGGGCTTGTATGTGTTTGTATGTGATCGACAGTCAGTGCTAGGGTTACTCAGGGACCATGAATTGCGAACATAGGTATCCCCTTGGTAGTTGAGTATGGTCCGTTGACTACATGAGGGACATTGACTGAGTGAGCTCTTATCAATGTTGTTATTCTGAGGGTTTGGGCTTCAGGGTATCAATAACCCAATGATAAGAGGAAGGGGGTATATCAAGTTTGGGGCAATTCAATCATGCTCTTAGCGGGCCACTCCTCATCTTAATTACCCATGCAATTTCCTAACGATCCTTATGTGCTTACGCTAAGGGTCCAAGGACCCAAATAATAGGGCTTCAAGGCCCAAATACCATAATATTAATAGTACTTGGGCCCTATTATTTGGGTCCTTGGACCCTAGGGTTATGGTGGGATCCCAAGCCATTGTGACTTTTCACCAAGCACGGGGTGGCAAGGGCAAGACGTAACTTCTGGACAGTGCGCGCATATGAGTTCCTCTTGAGTTCCTCTTGCAAACTATGTTGAAAGCTCCCGTGCATGGGAGTGTTCATGCTTCACACTGAAAGCGTGTGGGAGTTTATATGATTGCGATTTAGTCCCTAACAGGGGCCTATCCATGTATAAACCTTCTAGAATCCCAACATGTCCCCCGGGGTTGCTCAGGCCCTCTATTTTCAGAGAGTCCCACCTGTGGTTCCCGTGCAGACATCGAGAGGTGTACGACCCAGTAACAAATCCGATCCTTTGGCGCCTGTTGGGGCCGACACCTGGGCTGTTCACAGAAGTCAGCATTTAGAGGATTAGGGATTTAGGGATTCGGGGTTAGTTTTGGAGGTTTGTGGGACGAAGTAACTACTTACACCTAAGCGTATGAGCAAAAGTATAATCCCCCTAACTAGACTTATGCAGGTTACCCCAATCAAAAGTGACGTCATAATCCCAGTTGTGAATAATTACTAGGTCCGGCCCCATGAATCTTCAAATACCAAGAGAAAAGTCAAACGGCAACCTCCAAAACAAAAGCGTTGGATCTTCTGCCAAGCTACCCAGAACAACATGCTCTACGACATTGAAGAATGTTACATTGTCTTCAAACCACAAAACAAGCTAGATCCTCCCGCTACCCTTTGTAATGCCCCAATCGCCTACCTTCTAAGATGTATGGCTATTTGAGGATACCCAGGTCCTAGACCCGAAATACCATTATTAGGCACCCATAATGTTGGACCTCCTTTTGCCTATGGGGCCCCCTACAATGAGTTTAGGGGCCGGCCTATTCAGGATCAGGGCAACGATTGGAAGGTCGCCTATAATGAGTTTCGATTTTGGGGGCCTAAAAATATAGGAAGGATTCTCGACAATCCTTTTTAAATCAATCCACAGGGACCTCAGAACCGTGGGAGCTCAGGCGGGGCGTATTGAGGATCCCTAATTTCTATTTTCGGAGGGCCCTAATGTTAGGGGGGAGGGGGGGGCCCTTCTGAAAGAGGGTCCAACATTACTTCTAAATCCTAAACCCAAAACCCTAAACCCTTAAACCCTAAGCTCCTTAAACCCTAAGGCTTAGAGAACAGGTTCTGAAGCTCGGCCGTGGGCATGACAGTGACGTCCGCATTGCAGACGTCTCTATCTCCCGCCAGGGCCCTAAACCTTAAGAGGCTTAGGTTCTATAGCGTCTAGGGCTGAGGGTTTAGGGTTTAGGGATTGGGGTTTGGGGTTTAGGGTTGGGGTTCAGGGTTTAGGGGTACTTATGGAAACTGCCACATGGGTATGGTATGGGCTTAGTACTGGTTGAAGGGATAGCGTGTAGGCTTTCTGGATTGTCAGGTGGAACAGTGTAAAGGACAAGTGATGATCAGGGTTCGGGGTTAAAGGTTTAGCATTAAAGGCTCCTTTAACCCCAAATTTTAAACCCTAAGCCCCTAAACCCTAAACCCTAAGCCGAAGCCCCAAGGGCTGAGGGATCAGGATTCAAGGTCCAGGGCTGAAGACCGAAGTTAGGAGACCACACGCAAGTACCAAGATGGGCTTTATGGGAGCCGTGCAGCTGTAAACCCCTAAGCCCTAAATCCTAAACCGGCCTAGGACGTCCATAAAAACAATTAAGGGTTTAGGGTTTTATAGGGCTACATGTGGACGTGGTAGCAATCTGTATGCAGGTCGTCCGTCGTTACTTGACTGGCGGCGTCATGGCTACACATGACTTTCACAACGCATATGTTTTTGTCCGAGCTTGTTAGTGCACTGCAGTGGGTGTTTTTTTTTGTGAACGCTCCTTTGGAGTCTAGCTGCGCGGAACTGTCAGGACCTGAATTAGTATTTATGCCTGCAGGTAGAAAAGCCACCTCTCAGATGGAGAGACAAGCAAATCTCATGCTAGTTTCGGCATATCGGGCAGGCCAAGCTCCATGCAGGAATATTTTGAGTGACGCCCCATGAGTAGCTGGGTTGGGTTTTAAGCCTTCGCGCAACATTCGTCACGCCCCAAAGACCCAGAATTCAAATGCCAAACCTGCTCCCACCGACTCTACATGACCCTTGCGTTCGCTCCTCTCACACCCAGTTTGTTGGGGAGTTCCTACTTCCGGGAAGGTATCAAATCCCCAAGGTTTCTGTTTATCCAACCAAACACCAGCCTTTAGAATAATCCTCCAATTAGGCCTCAGCACCCAATATTCGGGACCCTATAATTAAGCCCAATTGAGGGTACAAGGAGGGTCCTGGCTCATAATTTACAATACGAACCTCCACCACACATTTATTCTTGGAGCCTCAATGGGGCCCTTTCACGAGAACTCTCACTTGACGCCACAACAGGCTGCCACGCGATGATTCGTTACAGCCAGGGTAACTTCGTCCTGCAGGCACAAAACGGCGGTAGGGGGCTCCAACGTAAAACCCAACATATTATAACCGTTACCCCGTAAACCCTAATCCTTTTCGTGGGGACTCCCAAAACAAGAGCCCTGAAGTTTTGGAAGTTCCAAACTCCTCGTGCGTGGGATTGAGGATTTTTAGAGGGTTTTAGAATTTAGGGTTTACGGCTTCAGGGTTCAGGACTTAGGGTTGAGGGCGTCAGGGTCCTTGGATCGAGGTTTTTCAGGTGGTTAAGGGTTAAGGGCGTATGACATTAGTTGAGGACTTGGTCACCATGTCAATGTTTGGCTTGTTTGGCACACCACTTTTTAGAGGTTCTCTTATTGGGCTATAAATGAAAACTGCTTCGAATTAACACTCAACCAGGACGCACCTGAAACCCCTTTTCCAATTGACCTGGTCACTGCATTAGGACCTGTACCTCTAGGAGCTTCTACTTGGAATCCTTGGGGCCCCCAGAGCCTAAACCCTAAACCCTTAACCACGTGTATGGTTCAGGACTGTCAGGACTAAACTCAGTACCGTAAAGCCTTAGCCCGAAACCCTGAACTCCAAGTTTCGAGCACAAAGCTCCCAAACCCCAAACCCTCATAAGCACAATAAACCCTATAAAGCCCCCAAACCCTTATTAAACCTTAAAAATCCTATAGAAAAACGGCGCACCAGGACAACGACAGCAAATTTGGCACCTTGGTGGCCATGAAGAAGCCGCGGCAGTTGGAGTCGCGGTCTCAATGTCCTGGTGGGTTAGGGCTTGGGGTTTAGCTTCAACCCTAAACCTGAAGCCCTAAAGTCTAAAGCTGGAGCACTTTTTAGGGTCAGTGGCTTAAGGCTTAGGATCCGGGGTAGTCATCTTCACTCAAAACTAAGCTAAAGAACATGGAAGCTTGAAGAAAGGCTGTACAAAGACTGCTGTCCAGGGCTCCATGTGGTTCCATGCTGCTGCTAGTTTGGGGGGAAGGTAGGGCTTTAGGGTTCAGGTTTTGGTTGTTGACGGAGGGTAGGGTTGAGGGCTGTTGGGATTTAAGGTTCTCGAGGGTTTAGGGTGAGGTCGTCTTTTGGTTGTTTCGGATCTTCGGGGGCGAGTGGGTTGGAAAATTAAGAGCTGTAAGGTTGCACTCTTAATGTTCGTTCCCTTGAAGCGTGGGTCCCGAGGGCACCCGCCCTGCGGGCACAAAGGACAACTTCCTGAGCGCGTGTGGAGGTAGGAAATCTTGCACCACTTAAGATGCCCAATATACTGAGAGTCCTATAGGGTGCGATTTATGTAGGGTGGTGCAAGATTTCCCCCTGAAACCCTAACCTTAATCGTCCATCCACGCCTGTCCGTGCCGACGTGCAAGCGGATGCTAAGCCTGTTGATGAGCCCTTTGCAGACCCATTGCAGAGCCATAAGCACGCGATTTACGGTGTAGGGTTTAGAGGGTTGAGGGTTTAGGGTCTATATGGTTTAGGGTAAGCCTGCAGCTCACATCTAGAATAAGCCTGAAACCAAGTGAAGCACTTTTGCCGGGCAGCTTTTTTCATGTACCTGCGCATCCAAGGAGTCACACGCCCCAAAAACAGCTGTGCAATCAGAGATGCCATTCCGGTACTGTTCCTCAGGACCCCTGCACCTGCAAATTCGATTTCCGGCCTATCCGACCCTTGTGGAATTCTAGCCAGTCTAACAGTAACTCATGTAAAGCTTGCATATTTGTTTAACTGGAATTCTTGAACCCGCCCCTAAACGCTGAGCCGTAAACCCTGATTCCTTATTCTAAAGCCTTCCCAGAGCCTCCTATGCCCTTTGTTGTTGCGTAGTATGTTACAACTCCTTATACCAGCATTGTAGGAGCCTGAAAGAATGAGCCCGAGAACCGTCTACGTTGCCCTAGATCCCTAGATCCCAAAACCCTGAATCCCCTCAAATTCCTAAACCCTGAATCCCCGAACCCTACTTGGAGGGTCAGGGGCCTTAGTAAGTAGGTTAGTATGGGGGATTGAAAGGATTCCTAACTTCCTAAATGGATGATGAGGGTTATTTACTTACTAAGTCTCCCTGACACCCCAAGTACAGGCCCTAATGAACAGGCTTGCTGTTAAGGAACCTACTTTAAGTTACTATATTGGGGAAGCCATATTGACCACAATATATATATACATATCTTCATATGTATATGGGTGTATATATATATACATATGCCCATTATGGTAATTTCTTATATATATATATCCAGTATGGTAACTTCTTTAAAGCCCCTAGCAGCAACCCAGTAAAGGCCATCCAAGTCCTGGCCAAGGCCCGCGAACCCTGTCTCCATCCAAATGGGCCGAACCGTCAACCTGCGCGCGCTTTCGTCTTAGGAACTCCGTGGGGTTTAGGGGTTTGGGGTTACCCTGAACCCTAAACCCCTGGGGGGTCATGCAGAGTTTAGGGTGTAGGATTTAAGGATTTAGGGTTCTAGCTTGAGGGTTTAGGGGTAATTTGGGGGTTACGATTTTGCGTTCAGCTGTGATGGCTTTGGATTTGGACTTCAGGGATTGCAGGTTTGGCTTTGGAACGTCTGCCCTGGAAGCATATTCGTAACCGCTTTTGGAAAAGGTCGAAGAGTGTGTGGGAAGCCGAAATTGAAAACACTCATCGGGTCTTGTAACAGCTCACGGTGCTCGTTTCGTAGAATCACGGAAAACAACTGAAATTCAAGTTGTTCTGAGAGCAACATGTTGTTCATGGTGATCTCACTGTTCAGAACTTGTGGGTTGCCAAGATGCTCGCCATGGGTTTTTGTCATAACATGCACCCAAGACATGACGACCCTAAAACGGGTTTGGGCAGAGGTGCTCATTCGCGCTGGCAGTATGTAAGGTAGGAAGGTCAATGACGAACCTTCATTTACGGGTTCTTTCAACAGGTTTTTGCCTGACCTGTGCAAGGGAGTGTTTGAGAAAACCTCTGTTGGTAACTTCAAAACAAGCAGGTTGCTCGGGGAATTGCTCTCCTACTGTAAAGCATAGAAGCTATACTGGGTTGCTGTTAAGGAACTGAAGATTAAGTTACCATTATAGGTATACATAGTAATTAATAATGTTTCCCCCATATAGTAAATCAAATTAAGTTCTTCAACAGCAACCCTGTATAAATCCTAAATTTCCCCACTGAGAGTCTGATTGCCTGCCAGGTCCTGTGTTTGAAGGCCGCTGGGGTGGTTTTTTTTGCTTATACTTGGTTAGGAGGGAAGAAAGGGAATGTCATTCTACAAGGTGTTGGGGTACAACTCAGTGATGAAGGGTCAAAGGGACAAGAAGATTGCGAATAGAATGGAATCCGGGGATGTGTAGAAGCCCCAAAAGATTTTTTCAAGGGAACTTTGTCATACCCCTGAACTTTTGGTAGGGTTCTGCCGGCGTGTCGAGCAGAGGGTTTAGGGTGCAGGATTTAGGGCCATTTAGGGTTTAGGATTCAGGATGTAGGGTTTAGCATCTAGGATTTAGGAGCCAGGGTCTAGGATTTAGGATGTAGAATTTGGGGGATTTGGGGTTCAGTATTTAAGGTTCAGGATTCAGGGCTTAGTCTTTCGGATTTTGGGCATAGAAATTCGGGCTTAGGATTTGGGGCTTAGGATTTACGATCCAGGCTTCCGGATTTAGGTTTATGCCATAGGACCTCGGGTAGGAAATGAGGCAAAGGTAAAGAAAATGGAGATAACACTGAAATGGAACATCACATGAAAACTTCGATGGAACACAAGGTGGAATCTAAGGTTGCAGGGACAGGTAGGGGAATGGAAAGGAAAGTACCTTAAATCCTAAACCCTAAACCCTAAACCCAAACTGGCAAACTACTACAATTTATTTGGTGTAAGGATCCTTTTCGTTCTTTCCTTGCGAACCAGAGTCACAGTTTAAGGTGTCTAGGGCTTACGGTGTGGGGAATTTAGGGTTTAGGGGTTACTTGGAGGTTCATGGGAAATAGTAACTACTTATAACTGGGCTTATAACCTTACTGATAACCCCCCTAAAAGGCCTTATAGGGGTAACCCCAGTTATAAGTAGGGTTATAACCCCAGCTATAAGTAGTTACTAAGTCCCATGGAGTCTGAAGCAATTCCGCGAAATCTTCAGGCGGGACCTTGGTCAGGAAGTATACTTCGGGTTTAGGGTTTAGGGCCTGCAGTTGCATCATAATCCAGGGAAATGTCAGGTGGGAAGTTTTCCCCATATAGGCCTTACGTAGCGCTTACCTACCGCGAGGCTCCCCGTATAAGCCTTATAGAAGCCCTATGTAAGGGCGACCCCCCCGGGTAACTCCTCCCCTAGTCATAACTCGCACCAGTGCTCCACACGTTCGCCTCATGACCAAGCTCAAAAGGTTCTATGAGAGCATCCTGTTGTCTAAGGTTGAAGCCATGGGCCCCTAATATGGGCCCTTAGGCCTTCTAGGGGGGTTCTAGGGACCTCTAAGGGTACTCCTAGGGTATATAGTAGGTATATAAGGATTTTAGGGTTAAGGGCCCATACTTGGGGCCCATGGTTTCAA